CCTGGGCTACATAAGCGAGTTCAAGGCCAGCCTGAACTGCACAGCAAGACCCTGTCTCAAAAGAAAAACAAAAAAAGTACATGGGACAGCTGTGTAGGTTTCATGCAACTTGACACCTTTGTGTATGTGGTTCCGGGGATCGAACCTGGGGCCTATATACTGAGCTACAGACTCAGCACCTTTTGAAACAGGCTTACTAAACTGCCCAGGTTGGGCTTAAACAGGCATTCTTCCTGCCTCAGCCTGCGAGGGAAGGTGTAATATGATTATGGCAAAAAGTCAGAGCAGGGCTTGTGTCACTTGGACAGTCAGAAGGCCCAGGGTTGAGCTGTGCAGGATCAGAACAGGGTGCTTGGGGTAGGGCCCTGCAGCTGTGGAGGAAGAGATCCAGGCAGGGCACAGCGGGAGGACTCGGGGGACCAGGCCAGCGCAGGTGGCTGGCGAGGAGGCGGTGGAGGGTTCTGCAGGCTCCAGCTTGGAGCCGCCGCAGCGCTGGAGCCTGTCCACCTGGTCCTAGCCCGGTTTGTGCGAGGCTGCAGGACACAGGGCCTGGTCTCCAGCAGATGCCCTGGAGGCTGGGCAGCCCGTCAGGACCGCTCATCCATCTCCCTAATCCCTGAGGCTCAGAGTTAATCCCACCCTGCCCCTGCGAGCTCCTCAGAGGGCAGAGGGACGGGCAGGCGGCGGGCTGGTGGGAGAGCAGCCGGCCTGAAGGACTTCTCCGTCGCTTCAGCCGCCTGCCCCTTCCTGCTGCCCTTCAAGGACCCGGGCTCCTGGTCGTTCCTGTGCCAGCCCTGTGCGTGGGGGGAGAGGATCTCAGCAGCGGGACTGTGGGTCTCCCAGGCCTGGACCCCTTGGCTAGCGCTGACCCACCTAGGGGGAGGGCGCTGGTCAGGGATTGCGGTGACGGGGGAAGGAGCAGTGTGCCCCAAAGACTGCTGTTCCTGCTCGCCTCCCGGAAGCCTCAAGGCGCCCCAAAGTTGTCTGTTTGTTGTTTTGTTTTGTTTTAAGACAGTCTCGGGTTGGGGATGTAGCTCAGCGGCACAAGTGCCTGCCTGGCAAGCGCAAGGTCCCGAGTTCGATTCCCAGTACACCCCCCCGCCCGCCCAAAAAAAGACAGTCTCACTATGCAGTTTGGGCTGGTCTTAAACTCACCGTGTAGCCCAGGCTGGCCTCCAACTCGCACCTATTCTCCTGCTTCAGCCTCCCCAGTGCTAGAATTACAGGCGTGCGCCGCCACATGGGGACTGAATGAGTTTCCCAAGAGGAAATCTCGGCCTGGGAAGCTGCGTGGAAAGCGAAGCTGGATCCCAGAACGGGCTGGGAGGGGAAGCCACGGGGTTGCCAACCGCAGACCCCAGGCCACCGCCCTCCGATGCCGTGCTGCTTGCTGGGCTGCTGGGTGCTGAGCTTGCAGGGTGCTGAACTTGCAGCGCGCAGAGCTCCCAGGGTGCTGTGCTCGGTGCTCAGCTCGACTCGTCCCCCTCCCCTCCCTCGCAGCTCAAGATCTCCTTCAGCGAGACGGCCCTGGAGACCACGTACCAGTACCCCTCCGAGAGCTCGGTGCTGGAGGAGCTGGGCCCAGAGCCCGAGGCCCTCGCGGCGCCCAGCGCCCCAGCGGCCCAGCCGGACGACGAAGAGGATGAGGAGGAGCCGCCGCCCGGGCTGCGGGGCGGGCTGCGCACCAAGGCGCTGCTCGTGGGTGAGCACGGGGCTGAGGGCGCCCCCTGGTGTCGGCCGAGGTGGGGGGAGCCCCGGGCAGCACAACCCTGGAGCGCGCTCGACGCAGCCGGCCCTCTTGGGCGTCCCGGGCCGGGCAGAGCCACGGAGGGCGCGTTCCTGCCCCGCACTGGGTGGACTCAGGGCCGCCCGGCTGCCCGGCCCAGGCCTCGGCTCCGCGTGGAGCGAAGGGGCCTGGCTTCAGTTCCCAGCACTGCAGCAGGGACAAGAGCAATGCTCTCACTCGGTTTTCTTGAGGAATGCTGCGCAGGCCGGGCTGACCTCCGACTCGAGATCCTCTTCCCTCAGCCTCCGGACCGCGAGGATTACAAGTAGCCACCACCATGTCTGGCAAGAGGGAACACTTTTTGTAAAGAATTTAGAACCTGGGCTGGGGATATAGCTCAGCGGCACAGCGCCTGCCTGGCAAGCGCAAGGTCATGAGTTCGATTCCCGGTACCGCCCCCCCAAAATAATTTAGAACCAAGGCCAAGTGTGGCGGTGCATGCTATTCCCAGTACTTGGGAGGCTGAGGCAGGAGGATCATTGTGAGTTCAAGGCCAGCCTGTGCTACAAAGTGAGCTCAAGATCAGTTTGGACTGAATAGTGAGACCCTGTCTCAAAAAGTCCAAAAAAAAAAATTTAGAACCAAGCTGGGCATGATGGCGCACACCTGTCATCCCAGCACTCCACAGGCCAAGGCAGGAGGATTGCCTGTGAGTTCGAGGCCACCGTGGGCTACGTAAGAAAACCCTGTCTCAAAAAAAAAGAAGAAGAAAAAGAAACCTTAGAATCATAGCTGGACATTAAATTACATAACCTCTCCTGGGGCTAGGCTGAGATTAGAAAAAGTACAAAAAAGTCTCAGCCAGGCGTGGTGGCACACATGTGTCATCCCAGCACTCAAGAGGCTGAGGCAGGAGAATCACTGTGAATTGAGCGCTGGACTACATAGGGAGACTGCTCAATAGATAAATAAGTGATATAAACACGCCTAGCGCGGAGCGCGAGACAGCGGCGGCTGTTGTACTGGGGGATGAGCCCCGAGACACGAAGCCACCCTGGACTCACCCGCGGAGGGCGGAAGCCAGGCCCTCGCTCACTGTGTCCATTCTCTCCTCCTGCAGATGAGTCCTGCCGGCGGTGACCATCTTCCGGCGCGGGCGCGGCCCCCTCTGACCTGCCCCGACCCAAAGATGCGCCTGGAGGGAAGGGTACCGACCTGCGGCGCCTCACTGCCCACCCCGCCGGGGCAGAGCCCACGCCGGCCCCGTGCAGGCGCGCCCTGCCCTCCTGTGTTTACACGCCCGCCTTGCACCAGCACGGTTGACAGTGCACGCCTGCCAGCCCCGCCGCCAGCGTCCGGGGTCGCGGGCCGGGCCGAGGCGTGGCTTCCTCCAGCTTCGCTCAGTGTTACTGTGCCTCGGTTTCTCCTGGAGGGAAGGCTGGGCCTCACCCGGGCCCTGGGAGTTACTGAGTGCGCCTCCTAGTGGCTCACACCTGAACTGCCGCGGCCGGGGACAGGAGCCCCGGCGTCCTCTCCCGCCGCTCCTCTATCGAGGGCCGATTGTGTTTGTTTTTTAACTTTCCATAATAAAATGGAGTACGCTCCAATCTTCCTGTTGTTTCTTCTTTGGGAAAAAATATGAATGTGAGGGGTGGCTGGTGGCTGGGGGGGCGGGGATGATGAGGGGGGAGCCAGGAATCCGACACTGACTTAGGAGGAAGCTGGGCCCTGGTGTGGTGGCGCAGGCCTGTCCTCCCAGCACTTGGGAGGCTGAGGCAGGAAGATCATTATGTTGTTTTTTTGTTTTTTCTTTTTCTTCCGGTACCAGGAATTGAACTCAATTCAAACTTGTGCTTGCCAGGCAGGCGCTGTGCCGCTGAGGTAAATCCCCAGCCCCAATCCTTACGACTTGGAGGGCAGCCTGGGTTACAAAGTGAGCTCAAGGCCAGCCTGAACTGCATAGTGAGATCCTGCCTCAAAAAGACCAAAAAAAAAAAAAGTCAACAAGTGAGTGGGCAGAGAAAGATAAGGACAGCAAGCAGAGCTCACTAGGGGGTGAAGTTGTCCCAAACAGGGTCAGGCAGTGTGTGACACAACCCAAGGGGTTCAGCCTGGACATTGACCTGAACTGGCGTCACAAACAGCAAATCTGAAATTGGTGCAAAATGTCGTACAGAAATGCAGTTTCCTGCAAAAGATTTTCCTCTGATCGACAATGGGTTGTGTATTTCTAAAGGTAAAGAACCATCCAGAATCCATAGCTTTGCGCTCCAATTACAGTCACTAGTGGGGGATTTTCCCGTTTCAAAGAATCTCAGCCTACAAATACAGAACACTGATGTTTTACTCATTAGGTTTTTCTTTTTTTGTCTTTTTGCGACAGGGTGTCGCTATGCAGTTCAGGCTGGCCTTGAGCTCACTTTGTAGCCCAGGCTGGCCTCGAACTCGCAACGATCCTCCTGCCTCAGCCTCTGAGTGCAGAGATTACAGGTGTGCGCCACTGCGCCCGGCTTTGTTTTTTGAGATGAGTTCTCACACTGTTGCTGGCCTTGAACTCCTGGGCGCAGGCAGTTCTCCTGCCTCTGCCCCTAGAGTCGCTGGGACCATAGGCAATGGCACCAAGCCCAGCTGAGCTGCTTTTTGTTTTTTTTCTTTGGTACCGGGAATCGAACTCATGACCTCAAGCTTGGCAGGCAAGTGCTTATGCCACTGAGCTATATCCCTGGCCCTCAGCTGAGCTTTTTGTAGCTCTCTGGACTTGTGAGGCAGATGAATAGATACAGGTCCCCTGCCCTTACAGGTTGCTTACACTAGTAAGAAACCCTGACCTTACTGAAAAACAAAATACAGTAGACATTTTTTTGGGGGGAGGGTCTGAGACAACGTCTCACTATGCTGTTCAGGCTGGGCTTGAGCTCACTTTGTAGCCCAGGCTGGCCTTGAACTTGCAATGATCCTCCTGCCTCAGCCTTCTTCCCAAGTGCTAGGATTATAGGCATGCACCACCATGCCCGGCTACACTAGACAATTTTTTTTTTTTTTTTTTTTTTTTTTGTACCAGGAATCAAACTCATGACCTTGCGCTTGCCAGGCAGGTGCTGTGCCGCTGAGCTAAATCCCCAGCCCCTAGACAAAGTACTTTTAAGTGGTGTCAAAAGTTTTCAGTTTACTGGCAAGGGGCAGTGTCAAAAGAATGAGGATGAGGTGTGGGTGTGGAGGGAAACCAAGCGTCATTAGTACCTAATTAGTAAAGATCCTAATCAGTCCTGACCCAGGAAAGCCAGGGCAGGAAGTGGGAGATACCAGGGGTTCCACAGTGGATCTAGGAAACAGAAAACTGCATCCAAAAAGTCAATGATAGGAACCCACCTGTGGCCACTTACCCGAGAAACACTTTCATTTCCTGGTATGTCCAATGAATCATAAAGGGACAAAGCAGGGACACAGGTGTCAGCAAAGCAAGTAACAGATGTTACATTTATTCACTCACTTTTTGGAGACAGAGTCGTGCTGTGTAGTTCAGGCTGGCCTTGAACCCATGGTGATCCTCCTACCTCAGCTTCCTGAGTGCTGGCATCACAGATGTGCGCTACCACGCCTGGCTATTTACTCTGTCGAGCCTGGGTCTCAAACTCCTCTGCTTAAGCAACATATGTTATGGACAGTCTGGGGTAGAAAACCTGAGTCCACCTTACCTGCGGAATGAAATTGCAGGCTGACTCCTGTGGCAGACGCAGAACTATGAGGACGTGTCCGTGACAGGCGTTAGAGGGGCTTCTTAAGGCTGAAATTTAAAAGTACATATTGAGGGGCTGGGGATTTAGCTCAGCGGCAAAAGCGCCTGCCTGGCAAGCGCAAGGTCGTGAGTTAGGTAGTTCGGTTCCCGGTACCAGAGAAAAACCAAAAAAAAAAAAAAAAAAAAAAAAAAAGTACATATTGAAAGAAATAGCGGGCCGTCGAGAGAGAGAGGCACGTCAGGAGGTGGAGCCGGTATACAGGTGTGCGCCCCCACGCCCGGCTCCCAGCTTTTTCACTTTTTATTTTGAGATAGGGTCTTGCTAAGCGGCTAAATTGCCCAGCCTGGGATGAAACTTGTGATCCCGCTGCCTCAGCCTCCTAGAGCGCGGGACTTACAGGCGTGCGGCACCGCGCCTGGCCGGCTCCCTTATTTATCATGTATTTTGTCCATACCGCCCCCCTTTGTCTGATTTGTTCTGTGCAGTAACCCTAGAGACAGGGTCTACCTAGCACACGCCAGGCGCTCATTCCATTCGTGGCTTTTCCCGAATGAAGGCGGGAGCGAATCGCTAGCGCCGCGGCTGGCGCAGGCAGCGACAGAAAGGAAATGTGTCGTCGCGAGTTCGGGAACGCTCCTGCGAGATCTGCGCTCGCTCGGCCACCGTAGCGCCTAGGCCGGAAATAGAGCAGTCACTTCCGGCTGCGCTCCGGTACCGGACGGCGGTGGGCTGCCCGGTACCGGACGGCGGTGGGCTGCTGAAAATCGAGGCCGAGGCCCTGTGCCGGCTCGCGGCTTCCGTGGGGAGCTGAGGCTCCGTCCGG